CCTTCTGGGGGAACCACAGGAGGGGCCAAAGGGGCAGCAAGTCTTTGGAAAGAGCAAATTCAAAGAGGAGTCAAGGTAAAGGCTGCCACCACGGCCCCTCCACAGGTCTCTACGTGTCTCTTCCAAGAGTCTCCTTCCATGTCCCGCGGTCCCAAAGCCAAGAAGCAAACAGCTTCTTCACCTGTCTCTCTACTCCACATGCCTCCTCCAGGTCTTCTTCCTGTTATTTCTTAATGTACTTTACTAGGTCACGCCATCATGTGTGAAGCCTGCTGCACACAGCTCTTCTCATTCATGGTTTCGTGCCTATCGGCAAAGGTTATGCCTTGTTATGCTGATCCCACAGCCCAGAGACCCAGCTAATCCACCTGGGGCACATGGTAACACACTTGCTCGTTCCCTTGGGAAGGGGAAGAGTTGGACAAGAAAGGGGACATCTGTGTGTTTCGAGAGGAGAAATAAAAGACACAATACACTGTCAAGAAAGGAATAAATATTTTCGTGGTTAGTGAATTGGTGCTTGGCACTGAGGAACTGTGCAGGAAGACAGCCTCTCAAACCAGACGAAAAAGGCCTCAAGGGGTCCTCCCTGGTGGCACATCGGGTTAGGACGCAGCACTACAAACCGACAGCAGCCACATCAGTGCAAGTTCGATCCCTGCCTGACCCGGAGGTGACCCAAAAGTCCCGGCAGACCTCTCCTGGCCTACCCGCTGCTCCCCTCAGCAGTGTACTTCGTCAGTCTGCCTGCCCTGCTCCCTACTCTGTCTCTGGTGAAGCCTCTCGCCGCCCCTGCACCTCTGGCCCGTACCCCAGTTTTGTATGCATAAATAAATCTTTTTTTGAAAGGCCTCAAGAGTCATGGCTTTCCTTAACATGCTAGTTCTCCGTTCTTCCCGCAGTGAGGACTACACCCTCTCCCAAAATACACAAGCACACACAGGCAGGAACATGGAAAAAATGCGAATATTAAGTGGGGACTTTACAACCAAACCAGATGTCATGAGCTGTTTTCCCTGCAGGTGGCGCTGCGTGCCAAGTTTCGAAGGAGCCCTAAGCTCAGAGAGAAAGTCTGGGATGAACTTTCACTCAATTTAACAAATATTGGGGACCTGCTCCACTTTTTTATTGAATAGAAAATAAAATAAGTTTTGAAATCATTCTCATTGAAGTAACACTGGTTTATAACATACATCATTTGACATCTCTATATACTACATTATGCTACTCAACAAAAGCCTAGTCTCCACCCACCATCATATAACTGACCCCCTCTCTGCCCACCTCCAGAGCTCCTGCGCCTTTGCTAACCACAGGTCTGTTGTCAGAGTCTGTTTTCTCCTGCTTGTTCGTTTCCTGAGTTTCTTTGTCTTCCACATAATCTGTCCACACAGGACAGAATAGATCTCACACACCAATGTCTCCCACTGGTTTATAACTTCTGTGAAGACTGAGGGTCTGTGTGTCTCCACTAGGAACCCCACCAGTGGGGACAGTGGGGTGATCTGTGCTCAGTGAGAGAATCTGGCCAGGGCAAGTCTCCTGCTCTCCCTAGCAGCCCTCAGAACCTTGTCTTTCTCTGCCAAAAGCCTGAAAAATCTGGGTCCCACTGGCCACATTGGTGCTCGGCTCACTCCCTAATGTCCCCCTTCCGTGAGTCCTGCAAATCACTAGGATTACATTAACTCCTACTTAGAACCTAGACAGAGGTAAACAAAAGAAGTATAAATTATCTCAAGGTGGCTCAGCTTGATTTCATAATGAATAACTAACTGACTTAAATGTGCCAATTACTGGGTGACCTTGAATCAAAGTCCCAATGCTTTAATCCTGAATTCTCCCAATACTGATAGCTGCCAGTTCAATTGTTGACTTTTACTTTCTAGCTTTCTCCCATGTAAACTTCTAATATTTATTCCCATAAGATTATCTGCCATTATATGTTTTTAATTTATCATTTGGCATACAGTTCTGAGGTGGTTCAGCAAATATTTGTCGACCTCTAATGCAGTAGGTATTTGCATGTCACAGTAGGAGACACAACACCGAACAACTTTGAGGAACTCAACCTGGCACATTCAAAAAAAGCACTTAAGAAATCTGCAAGTAACTAACTGCAGTGCTTATAAATGAGGCTGCCCTGGTGGCTCAGGTGATAAGTCTCAGCATTATCAAGCTGTCACCAGCAGCTGCAGCCTGAGTTCCATCCTCCACCAGGGAGTGACCCACAGGGCACAGCAGACCTCTCCTGTCTCCCACTGCGTGGGTCACAGCAGACCTCTCCCACTGCTCCCTCAGCAGTGAATTTCAGTCCATCTGCCTATTCTGCTCCCCACTCTGTCTCTGGTGAAAACTCTCACCCCCACACCTCTGGCCTACACCCCAGTTCTTGTATGCATAAGTGAAAAAAAGTTTTTTTCAAAAATCTCATAAATGCTACAAAGAAAAATGCAGAGTTCCAGGAGAACAGATTACAGGGGGGCATGCCCAGGTCTTGGGGTGCAGACAGGATGTCCCTAGTGGAGTAGAACTTAAGCTGAGGCTGAGCAGACTTTTTGAGGGGATAGGAAGCAGCCGCACGTGAAAGGGATTCAAGAGAGGAAAACCATGCTTGCAAATTAGCTCTGAGGCAGGAAGGAAATTTCCACAGTGATTGAACTACAAATAGCAAAGCTGGAAGATAATGAGCAAGACAGTGAGATAATGGGGGGAAACACTCAAGCTTCAAAATCTGGAAGTTAGTGGGGGAGCAGAAATTATGATGATTTAGATCAAAGTTGAGGGCCCTGGGACTCAAGCCTGATGCCAACATAAAAGCAATTTCAAATTTCCATTTACATCACATTTGCTGACTTCCTGTTGACCCAAATAAATTACATGGCCGAGTCCAAGCTCAAGTCTGGAGCAAGGTGAAAGTCCTGTATGGAGAGATGCATTTTAGAAACCTTAGCAAGTTATCGTCATTGAAAGCAGTGAGATTTAACCATATCACTAAAGGAGAAAGAAGAGTTCTAGGAATTAACTGTATTACAGTTTTAGAAAATCCAGTTACATTAAGCAGAACCAGCAAGAGATCACCAGAAGGGATCAGTTTGGGGAAGTAGGAATAAAAATCCCATAAAAAGATGCTGCCTGGACAAGCAATTCAAGAAGAGACCTGTGGCTCCAATCAGCCACCTTCCCGGCATCCAGGCATACGGGGTGGAGCTGTACCAGCTGACAAGCTTACTGTTTGAACCAAAATTAGACAAAATGAAGACAGGCTCTCAGACCTCTGGGATTCTCCAGGAATCAGAACGACTGAGTATCCAGCTGGAGACATGTTTATCCTTCAAGATACAAGGAAAATGCTGCAGCAGGGGGGCTCAGAGATACGCAGGGCTGCCACTGTCACCATGGTTCGAGCCTCACTCAAGGCGGAGGAGAAGAACCAACGCCTTTGGACTCAGAATGTTCTCCAGTGTGCCTGGAAGACAGGGCCGGAGTCTCAGCAACCCTGGGCTCTCCCCTGCTAGGGACCTGTGATCCTTTCTGCTTTCCAAGTTCTGCTTTTCAGAATGGGACTGCAGGCACTCCGCAGGTCACCCCATCATGTATTTGGGAAATAGATGGGTAGTGTCTGTTTCCACAGGTTCTTAGGCAGGGAAGAATTTGCCTTGGGATGAATCGAGCCTCCAGTCTCACCTCTACCTGGTCTAGATTGTGTTTAAATGGGATTTGGAACACAGACCTGAGGCTGGAATAGTTTCAGATTTCAGGAGCTGTTGGGCTAGAGTAAATGCATTTTACATGTGAGAAGGGTGTAAATGTTGGGGGGCCAGAGGGCAGAGCGTTATGTGCTGAATATGTCCTCCTGACATTCTCAGGTTGAAGCCCTCCTGCTTCTCAGATCGTGACAATGGACCGTATCGAGATCTTTTAAGAGGTAAGCTAAAAGCGGTTGAGGGCCTGATTCAATGGGAAGCGTGTCTTTGTCCTCAGGTGCACACAGAAGAAAGACTGGAAACAGAAAGAAGACAGTATACACGAGCCAAGGAGAGAACCAATTGTCTTGAGCTCAGGTGGAAATCCAGGTGCTCTTGGGAGGACCAAGGCAGGGCTGTTGCCAAGTTCACTAGGGGACAAAGCTACCTTGGGTCTGCAACTGGGACCGTGGTCAGTGTGTCTGCCTTTCCAGATCCAACGGGGGGCTGGCAGGTGCCAAGCGTGAGTGTGCACGAGGGGTCCTTGGTGAGACTCCCAATATGGCCCCTTGGTGGCTCCACTGGGGTTGTGAAACCTCCTCCGTGGATGGTTGCTAAATTATTGTTGCTGTGAATAGGGGTGCAAGATGAGTGGGGGCCATTCTACCTCTTGATGGTCCAGGAAACAGTAAAGCCTACTGTTACTAGTACTATTACTAATATTCTTTAATGTCTTTGAAAGACATTGGCAGGTAACAGTTCTCACATGTGAAAGGTAGTGTAGTTCCTCGCCTGACAAAAATCCACTTTGCTTTAGATAGCTGTGGTTTTCCTCCTAAATTAGGAAAATCTCCTGCATCTATTTTAGGGGGGAAATTGTCAAACACCACTTGCCATCAGTCTTCCTGTACCCCAGGCTTCTCAACCCCGTCTGCTCAATTTCAGTCTTACGACCTCTACTTCCGATTTTGTATGTTGAAAATCCTTGTTCCATGAGTGTAATCTCTCAAGAGACATAACTAAAACATTGTGTAGTGGAAAGAATGAAACATTGCTGCAAACAAGTAATAACCTACATTTCTTTTCCTCTGGCTGAGAGGAGCATGGAATGTAAATTCTGAAGGTTTGAGCCACCAAACAAAGAAACCATTTCCTCATTCTCCCTGACCACACCTTTCAAGTCTTCTTCCTGGTTTATCACATTACTTGGATGGATATACTTGGCCACACCTCCTGATATTGCTTAATATTCACTTCAGGGAGGCAAACTAGGGAGAAGCTCTACCCATCACCCAGTACAGAGCCAGCTGAGCCCTGAGCGCACCAGCGCACTCTGGGAGAGATGAGACGGTCACACCAGCTGCCCCTAGTGGGGCTCCTGTTGTTTTCTCTTATTCCAAGTCAACTGTGTGAGGTCTGTGGTGAGTATGCTTTGAGTTCAAATTATTCATGTGTTTGTCTCCTGAAGGCTACTGACAGGGGCCTTTGTGTTGTTTCCTGAGAAAAGCTCCTGCTCTGGTTCGACATGTAGCTGGACTCTATGAGAAATGCAGAGGCTGACAGGAGCTGTGAGAAGAGTCCACCATGTGTGTTGTTCTAAGAGGCGGCACAGTCAGTGTTCATGTGTCTGCGCTCCCTCTCCTCAGACCCTCTCTGCTACAGCATCCCTGCCTAGTGAACAGTACTGCTCTTTCTCAAAGACAGAAAACTTATGATGCCAGAAATTTTTCCAGATCCTAGGAAGTTTTCTTTTGACATTGAGATACAACCTACTTTTCAGAAGTTCAATCCATAGGTGTTGGGTCAACCCCTTGAAACAATACGGGGGGAAGTTAATAATCCCTTTCAATGAAGATTGCTTTTTTGTTTTAATTAAAGTTTACATGTTCCAAACCACACCTCTACCTCCCTCAGCTCCTCCCCACAGGCCACGGATGTGAGTCCATCATCTCCCCTCTGGGTATTGTCTCCAGAGGCTCTGCGGTTCCATTTCCTAACACAGGGTATAGAATAACTGGGCTTAGATTTAGATGGACCCACTAGTAGTTGGATGATCTGATGTTTCTGATATGTAACTTCATCCAAAATAGAAGGGGAGGATGAAGGAACGGAGAGGGCGATTTCTTGATATCTGGCACAGCCCTTGGGCACATGAGCTTTCTTGTTAAGTCTTTATCCTGGAACTGGACTTCAGCCCAGTGCAAGGACAGCCACGTGACCAAGGACACCATCTGTGACCACCTCTTCTCAGTAGTCCTCAAGAAGGGATTGGCACTGTGGTAGAAAGACTTTTACTCACATCACGAAAGCACAAAATCTACCAAATCTTTTTTTCTTTTTCCCGGGTCCCGTCACTTCCTCTGTTGAATCCTGAGAATGGGCTTGGGGGGTATTATGGAGGTTGTGAAGCTCAATTCATTGTCAAAAAAATAATAATTAAGGTTGTCTTCACTAGGCAAGGAAGCTGATTTGAGTTGCTGACCAGGAACTAAAAGGTCTATTTCATTGCCAAAAAATTCTACTGAATTGAATCCTACCACAACTTCCCAGAAGGGTGACTCATAATTGTCCGGATGTGCCTGTGGCAAGCCACTGTCTTCCTACAATCACTGATTCTGGTCTTCTTAACTCTGCATCTGAAAAAAGGTGGACAAGAGATAGCTCATTTCCAAAATTCACTAAATGACAGAAACCAAATTGAGCTATAATATATATATATATACATATATATATATATAGTATTTTGAAGTTTATCAAGCCATTTCTTGTCCAACATTTGTGAAGCAGATATATGTGCAAGTTTAGATTGAAGACACTGAAGGTATCCATGGTGCTAAGCCCAGGAGGACAGGGTCCAGCCTGGCCACTTGAGCCCAAGACCCAGGACTCACTGTCCCATTAGCTTCTGAGATAATCTGGAGGTGAATAGGGTTTGTGAGATGGGGGGGAGGAGTCATGGGCAAAGTAGATTTAGAAGTGTGTTATTCTCCAGTTATGCGGGGGCGGGGGGTCTCTTTTTACTTCCACAGTGGAATGTGACTCCTCCCATGGCTGCCCTGGGAGTCAGCCATGCAGGTGAAAACTGGAAGGTGTCCAAAGGCTGTAAAACAAGGGTCCTGGTGCCCCACCGACTGGGCAAATCAATGCAGCACTGAGGTCAATCGCCAACGTAATAGAACTGGTGACTTCTTTCCGTCAGTATTAGCCCAATTATGTTAGAAGAAGATGAAGAAAACTGAATCCAGGAAGTAAAAAAGGAAAAAGTGGGAATTCGCCCACTTAGTGTATTTGGTTCATTCTTCATCACTGCAGGTTCTTTCAGGACACACTTTCCAGGTCTCACGCTCACAACTAGGGAACGGCAGTCTGTCTTGGGCAGGAGGACATGCTGCCAGGACACAGCGGTAAATTTTGTGCTGCTTGTTAAAGCAGTAAAGCACTTCCACGCTGGCTGGTAAAGGAGCTATCCCTGGCAGGCACGGCTCCATGTCCACTTTGTGTTGTTTCAACATAGCCAGTGGCCACTGGCCGGGTCTATGCCCATTCCACATTTGAGAGTTATTTCATGGTAGATATTTATAATATATTTAATGAATATATTTATTTTGTTGTGTTTTATTAATAAGTGAATATTTGTTTTATTAATATTTAATTAATATGTTTCTGATATATTTAATTCCCAGCCTTCATGGTTCATGAGTGTATGCTTCTTATTTCCTCCCTGTCCTACCACAGAGGTAAGCAAAGAAAACTACTTCCGTTTAAAACCTCTGATAAACACAATGGTCAATTCCAAATCTACCAGCGGGGTCCAAGCAGCCTATGTCCTGCTGTCTCTCAGACTCGCCGGCTTCCAGAACCAAAGCCTGGAACAAGAGCTGATCCGACAAGTCAAAGACAACGTGGAGAGGAACGGTGAGTGCCTGCTTTCTCTGGAAGAGTTAGGGGAAGACTCACCTCTCCATACGATTGTCTCTGGAGGGTCCTAAATATGGGGTGAGAGTATCCCTGCTACAGCCTTCCTGGCCACAGGAAGTGTGCGGTGACAGGGAGGCGCCTCAAACATCCGTCCCACACTGCTTACTCTAGAGCTAGGGCTTACTCGTGAGGCCTGAAAACCATTTTCCTTCAAAAAGGAAGAGCAAAAGGGCTCACTCTTGTCCATTAATTCTGTTAGATAAACCAGCTGAGTTCACGAACAAACAGGGCTAAGGACAACACCCAAGAGAGCTGATGACAGAGAAGTAACCGCAGAATGAAGAGATTCGAACTGGGTCTGAGTCCCACAAGCACCTGAACCTTTCATGTCAGTGCTGAGCTTTATCCTTCTAACATAACATAGGTGAGGAAGCCTCCCCTCTGGAGCTCATGATATTATCATCAGAACTGTTAGATTAAAAGTCCGAAAGCTGGGGCCTCCCTGGTGGCACAAGGGTTAAGTCCCAGCACTATTGAGCAATCCACAGCACTGCCGCATGAGTTTTATCCCACATGGCGAAGCAGCCCTCTCCTGTCTTGCCTACTGCTCCCCTCAGCAGTATATTTCAGTAGATCCACTGTTCTGCTCCCCACTCTGTCTCTGGTGAATTCTCTCACTCCCTCCCCACATACCTCTGGCCTGTACCCCAGTTCTTGTTTGCATAAATAAATAAATCTTTTTTTAAAGGTCTGAGAGTAACAACACAAGGTAAAAATTATAAGTCAATTACTAGCATCTTGGCAAGATTGTGGCCACAAAGAGAAAAAAAAATCCCACAGACTTATTATTATTTACCTAGTTTTCCTTCTTTTGAAAAGGTTGCAAGATTCCAAAAATATCTCATGATTTCATGGGCAAACCTAGGCCCTCTCTTGCATTTATAGTAAACGGCTAGAAGTCTCCGCTTTGAAGATGAAGAAGAGAACAATAAAACATTGGTAGTGTCAATGAGAAAAAATGGCAGGTGACACAAACCTCAAAGAAGTTAAAAATAGCACAGGCACATGCTTTGTTAAACTTGAACACTTTTCTTTTCAGTCTCAACTTTAACTTCGGGAGAGCTTGCCGTGATGATATTGGCTTTGGGAGCGTGCCAAAACCCCAGTGGCGCTGATGGATATGAGCCTCACTTAGTTGAGCAGCTGGGAAAAAAATTCCAAGCAGAAATTGAACATATAGGTGAGCATCAAATGCCCAGAGACGTTGGACAGCCGAGTGTCCTCCTCCACTGTCTCAGAATTAAGTGAAGTGCCCTTCTCCTCTCTCCTTTCTACTTCATTCCATTCATCCCACTATATCTTTGCTAATCATTTTTCCTTCTTCCCTCTTTCAGCCTTGGAATTTCTTTTCAGACACTAACTGAGCACTAGCCCACATCACACGCTGCTTTATGAATGATCTTACCCATGCGCACGCACACAAGGCAATTCTCTTGTCCTCCAGGAGCTCGGCTTTTGGACAAGTAAAGAATTACAACAGAAATAGCTGAACAGTGCGAGACACTGCCCCAATTACCAGAGTAAGAGTAGAAGTTCACCCCACTTCTTTAGGTTGGCCATGGGGGATGCTAGCAAGGCACATTGTTTTCATTCCAACTCCCCCTCCATATTACCCTGTGGTTCATTAAGTCTTGCCAGCCCCATCTTCCTTCAAGATGGCCTCCTCCTGCGCTCCCAGTTGTAGCACATTACCACTGGAAGACCGGAGCGCTTGGTGGTGGAGGAGCTATGTGCTTGTCCCAGTTCTGTCACACGAAATTTGGATCCTATTCTAATCTCTTTACTCCTGGGCACTTTCAGTTGTAAGACGGAGACGAGTTGAATTTGATGATCTTTGAGTCTTTTGGTATCTCATATTTTCAGATTCTATGAATGATCCTCCTCTGATGTAAAGAAATGGGAGTCAAGTAAGTCGGGATAGATTGAAATGTACCACCCGTTCCATCCCTGTAAGTAAGGCATTTCTTTCCTCTTTCCCAGAAGCACACCACGGCAATCCACTGACTAACTACTACCAGCTGAGCTTGGACCTTTTGACCTTGTGCCTTTTCCATGGGAGCTACTCAGTCACCAAAGTTTCAAAACTCTTTGCTCCTGAAAACTTTTATCTTGCTGGTCGGTTCTCAGTAGGTGAGTCACTTAACCCAATTCGTTTGGTAGGGGGACACAGCTCTGCTCTATGAGTTTTTCTACCAGATGATACATAGATTTTTTTTTCTCTATCCTCTTCACCTTTGCTTCCTCAGATGAATTTGCTTTATTGGGTGACATTTAAACCTGATTCTAGCACAATGGAAAGACCTGATCCTGCCCCAGCTCCTCTTTGAGTTAGTAACAGTGGATGGTAACACTTGGATTGCATCCTCCCATCTCTAAAATGAAGTTCAATCACGAGAAGCTTCATATAAGACCTCTGAAGAAGTGTACATGTTAGAGAAATGCAATGCAGTAGAATTCAATTTTCTGAATGTTGCTGCTTTCTCTGATTTATGGGAATTCGCAAAATATCCATGTATGGGTCTACTTAACTCGACCTCCCCAGTGACACAGTTTAGTCAACACTGTGCATATTCACAAAGGAGAAAGACCAGCAATTTTCTACGATGAGCTGACATGTCCACAACAAATCCCCTCCAGACAGCTAGTATTGGCCTTAGCCCTTGTGACTCCAGAACCCAAGTGCACAGACACACCCTTTTCCAAAAGCTCCAGGCAAGTCACCACTGGATCGTAAGGAGAATGTGTGGGATTTCGCATACACTTGTCCCTGAGAGAAGAAAGACACCCGGCAGAGAAGGTCAAATCCTTATCCTCTCTTCTAGTCACTTGTTCCCTTCTGGGAAAGGCTTATGGGAAAACAGTTCTCTAAGGGCCATTTTCTAATCAGTCGCCTTGAAACCTCAGAAACTTACATGAACCTTTTTTTTATTGCCGTGTATCTTATTCCTTTGCCAATATGGCTGAAAGATGAGTGTAACTAAGATGCAAAGCAGAAGTTTCCATGTGTACTATGATATGTCCACAAATCATGTTTCCAAGACCAAGGTACCAGCAAAGGGCACATGGCAACTCACAAGGGAACAAATCTAGGAGTATCAGAGTGGCTAGTGCCAGAAGTCTCTTGAAATCCTTCTCTCCACTCATCAAGTAGCAGGACCGACCACCCCAATTCGCCCGCAGTGGACGTGTCTTAACACGGGCAGCCCCAGGCCAGGACAATCCCCCACCACAGGTAAGCAGGAAGGCAGGTCACCCCTCACCAGGTATTGTTTCCTGACAGATACCGGGGCAGTGGCTGTCCTGGCTCTGACCTGTGTGAAGAGGAGTGTGGTGAACGGGCAGCTAGAGGCAGGTACAGAGCATCTAGACAGTATCAGCAAGCACATAAAGTCACTGGTGGAAATAATCCTGTCTGAGAAAAAAGAAAACGGTCTCCTTGGAAATGTCTACAGCACAGGAGAAGCAATGCAGGTAAGTCAGAGGGTGAAATGGGACAGAGGGGGTCTTGGAGGAGAGCCCCCCTCTTTCCCTCTCATTTTATTTCCTCCGATTATGTTTACTGAGTAGTGTTGGTTCACATCACTAATTATTTTCGGGGTTGTAGTTCCAACCTGTCCAAATGTCCCCTTTCACACCTGCCCCCACCATCTTCCGCCATGTTCCGTTGTCTTGACCCTTCGTTGGTGTCCAAGGTCTTCTTGTCTCTCCATTTCCTCCATTAACTTTGACTGTCCTCCCCTGGCTGAGACGTGGTCTCCCCTCCAGACTGCCCTTTCCCAATCCAAAGTTTCTGTGACGCTTTTCCTGATCATATTTTAAGAATTCTAGATGTGCAACTGGCCTTTTCCTGCCACTTGTGTTCTCACACTGTACTGTATACTGTTGTTCTGTGCTCTCATCTTACCTCCCAGATTAGCTCATCATTGTGGGAGTAATAAAGTGGACAGTGACAGCAGTCCGTATTTAGTGATGTTAACTCACTAATGCATGCAAATCCAACAGCAAGAGAATCATCACTCCATTCTTCATCTCCTAAATAAGAGTGTGAGTCTCGGAAGATCAGTAACTTCTGGATCAGCCGGGCCCAGGAAGTGGCGCTGATGGGGCGGAGGCTAGACAGCACCCTCAGTACACCCAGCACCCACCCACACTGGCACACAGTCAGGCCTGGAAGTTTGCAACACTGTTCCTACATTTACCCCAAGAAATTTACTTAACCCTAATAGCCACAAAATGAGTTCAAAGAAGGTTTGCAGAAAAATCAAAGACAAATAGCGGTTCGTCAGGTTTACTCAGGAGGTGAGGACCTAAGGGAAAGCTAGATACTGTTGGAAGATGGATGCATTCAGCAGGTGAGCGTAGGGGTGTCGGGGCCTCAGGGTCAATCACAGGTGGAGCTGGGGACGGAAGCAGAGGCTCCATTCATGTTGTTTGCCTTCCCGAGTGTGGACTTGATAGACAACCATGGTTTCCTGATCTGGCTACACCCCTGATCACCTGGAGGAGCTTTTCAAAAACACTAACATTTAGCCCCACACCAGCCAGTTACCACAGAAATGTAAGGGAGGGACCTGGCCTTGGCCTGTGGAGAAGTCCCGGAGGCCTGTGACTCCACAGCAGGCCCAGAGCTCGTGGCTGCCCCACCTCAGGGCCAGGCCGCTTCCCTGTCGGCACAGTGCCCCTCCGCTGGACAGCCTGCTGGGTGCACACCAAGACCAGCTCCTACACCTCGACGCTTCCTCAGCCTCACTCAGCGTGTAGGAGGGCTTCCTCCTTGGAGGGTGGTGCCCCGGGTGCCTCCCTAGGCACGTCATCTCAGAAGGCTCCTCTACCACTGCAGAGTTGTCAGGGATACAAAAGTGGGTGCAGAGGAGGCCTGTTCCCCACGACTGTGATGGCTGGGGTTACTGGGCAATTCCGCGCCTCTCCACCCAGGCAGCGCCAATGTGCATCCTGAGGCCTGGCTGGGTCCTGAGGCCGGGCTGGGTCCTGATGTCCGGCTGGGTCCTGATGCCCGGCTGGGTCCTGAGGCCTGGCTGGGTCCTGATGCCCGGCTGCGTCCTGATGCCTGGCTGGGACCTGATTCCCAGCTGGGTCCTGATGCCCGGCTGGGTCCGGATGCCCAGCTGGGTCCTGATGCCCGGCTGGGTATCTTCATTGTCTCTGGTGCCTGCTCTAAATGGGTGTTCATTGTTGACCAATTAGATGTGGGCTTTGCCCTTACTTGAAGTCTCCCTCATTCACTCTCTCATTAGGCTCTCTTTGTCTCATCAAACTGTTATGAGAAAAGGCAGTGGACCTGTCAGCACACTCTGAACACGGTGCTCGAGGAAACCGCTCGCGGGGTATTCAGTGTTCCGACTGCTGCCTCCCAGGTCTTGCCCGCCCTGGTGGGGAAGACCTACCTGGATGTGAACAGAGACACGCCCTGTGTCCACGGCTCAGGTAAGCACTGAAAGGCAAGCCAAGCCTGTGAGCCTCAGGCGTCCTGGGTTCCAGACGGGCAGATGAACCTCGAAATCTAGCAGTTTCCAGCCGGGACTCACCCCCCGCTGGGGAAGTAGCGATAATCACCACCTGAAGAGCTGGCCTGAAGTTGACTCAGTGAGGACTGGCCGTGAGGGCATCTCTGGTTGTGGTTTACAGACACAAGGTTTACAAAAGGAGATTTTTCTTTCTATCTCATTCATTCCTGGTTCAATTACTTATGAATTTTGAGATCCTGGGCCAAATGTTTAGCTTCAGCTTTTGAGTGTAATTAGATTGGCAATTGTATCTAAGAGTTTTGTAAGGACTGAATACAATGATCCATGTAAAAGGATCGCACAGTGGCAGCACTTAACATGTTTCCTGTCGAGACCGCGCCAGATGTCAAAGTCCAGCTCTGACAGGGGGCTGGTCAGGGGTCTTTTTCCCGAAGGATGAGGTGGGTCAGTGAAATGAGCAATGAGGCAGACATTGACACTCCAGCTAGTGCCAGTGTCTCCTACCGAGCATCTCAGGGTCTTTATTTACATGTTAAAAGCAGGTACTGAGATTACATCAACAAAAGCATTGAAACAAAATAAAAATAATTATTACATATTTTTCATAACCACTTGGAGACCTCCGTGGCCTCGTACTGGAAAGAAACTTCTTTGGTCATTTAAGAAAAACATAAACAATCAAGGCTTCTAACTGTAGCTCATTTCCCAGCATAATCAGTCACCTGGGACATTTGGTAATGTTTAACCACCTTACTAACTCCCTAACATAGATTCTTATCCCTATATCCTATTGTTCTAAAAATCATGTATTCCTAAGAATCTTACTAATATATTGTTTTCCTAGAAGTCTTACTATTGCAACTTATCATTCTTATCTAACTCCTGTAATCATTGCCTTAGACTGGTCTAAGATAAGGGTATCTAACCTCCATGTCACCTGCGAAGTATTGACCTTTCGAGCACACCAGAAAATCTACTTATGTGGCAAGCACACCTCCCGGGTGAGATTCCAGTCACCCGCCATAGTGAGCTTAACATAATTTTGTCTCCCATTGTCTTTAGAGCCACAACCTGTTTTTCCTAACCTCTTGCAATGTTAATTTCTGTTATGTATTATGCCAATTAATACTTTAACCCAAGTTAATTTTGACAGGCCAATCATATAACCAATTTTTGCCTATTATTAACCAAGAACAAATGAGGAAGTTTCAGCAGGCGTTGCTGTGGAGACTGCCATGGTTTCATCTTCTTTGGAGGTTTAGAAAACCCCAGCTCTTCTTTGGGAGTCTCCCCAAGGCCCGGATCATGTCAAAAGACAGCATTGGTTGCGCGGCCTATGTCAGTTTTCAATCTGGTTAAAAGAGTCAGCTGGGTGGGGAAGGCCAGAGTGGGCCTGTAGTGGAAAGTTCACATACATAATGGTGCCCACCTGTAACTGCTAACTGTTACAACGCAATGTTAGGTCAATTTAAAGATAGAGGTGGGGTCAGATGAGGCTAGAAAGGACGCAGTGGATTTGGTGATTATAGAGCCACTAATTTTATATAATATTGAAATCATGCAAAAAATGAAAAGGGGGGGAAAGAAGAAGCATCATGTACCACAGCAAAATAAATAAATGAATCAGGCACCTCTGTCAGAAATGGGACAAGGAGAAGGTGATTTGCTTCAACAGCTGGAAATTGAATCACACACAAGCAGTCAAGCCCTGAGATGCCTGGTTTAAAATTCTGCTTTCGCCACAGGAAAGATCTTCCCCTTGGGTTGATGATGCTGGCTCCTTGTAATAACCCTCTTTGCATAAAGGAAAGAGGTCCTAGAATAAGTGATAGAACATTGTGCAAATTCTGAGATCATTTGTATTGTTACAAATATTACTTCTCTCTGCTTTTCCGCCTTTGACAGTTAACTTCGACATCATGCAGGAGCCTGTATCTGTGACACCTAATTCACCCTCAACTATCGTAGTACATTACTCTGTGAGAATCAATAAAACCTATCCCATTGATATCACCGTGCCAGAAGGTTCTGTCTTCCTAGATGTGATGGAGGCGGCTCAGAAGATAGATAAAGCTAAATTTCGGTATGTATGCCTGTCTAAAAACACGAGGAAGGTACTCGATGTGCTTTAGAGAGACTTGGTAAGAACATATCTGCTCCTGAACAAGGAAATTTTAAAGCATGTCTTAATCCACACCTGTGCTACCCACCCATCTATCACAGCAGGAGTTAAAAGCAGGTGAGGCCTTTCATCTTCTGGCACAAAGTAGGGATGAAATTAACATTCACTTAGTGGATGAATAAGTCCTCTCCCTTAAATAGCCCTTAAGTGAACAGAACCTCTTATAACAGATACTCTAGGCTTACAAGGATGGCTCTTGACATTCAGTGATTCAAAATTTTGACTGACTGACTACTTTGAAAATCAAATGAGACTGATGGATGATCATCTCAGAAAAATAAACATACACCCAAAGTTTGTTTCTTAAACCAGAGGCTTCATAAAACATGCTGATGCTTCTTCATGCCCCCTCCTTTCAGGAGATTCATGTACCCCTTGATTAAGGTTCTGTGACCTAGAGAGGTCAAGTATTAACATGAAGTTATTGGCTTTGCCTCTGAAAAGTATGGTTTATTTGGATCCTTCAGTGTAACTGACAATTATTTATTGTGTCTAATAACATGGTGTTAGATGCCAAAGAGGAAATTATATCCATATATATGGAATATATATGGATATATATTCTATTTAGTATGGGATATATAGATGGAATATATAGGTGCATCATGCATGTGATTATAATTATGAAGATTGCTTTGGAGACTTCCAGATAGGTAGAGAAATGTGAAGCAAACATGAGCCAATTCCCTTTTTAACAAACAAACACGATGTATGAATTTATTCTTTCCGATTCTTCCTTGAGTTAGTGGGTTCCCCACTAACTCAGAGCCTAATGTCCCCACAGTTACTGCCTTCTGGGAAGGACAGAAACCAAGGCCAGCTTTTCTGAAACTGAGCCTGGATTGTGCAGCAGCTGCCTCAGAACCCCCTAAAATGTGTACAATTCACTCTGGTAGCCTCCGTCCCACCCAGACCTTCAGAATCAAAGCACTTGGGGCAGGGCCAGGAAATTTGTATTTTTCTCACTTCAAGTTTGAGAAATGCTCCTGTCAGTTGCCCTTGAACTAAGAACTAGTTGTTCTTAGTTCTGGGGGGGCCTCCCTGGTGGCTCAAGGGGTTAAGTTTTACAGCACTATGAAGCTATCCACAGCCACCACAACATGAGTCCACTCCCTGGCCAGGGAGGTGACCCTCATGGTGCAGCGGACCTCTCCTGGCCCGCCCACTGCTCCCCTCAGCAGTGTCCTTCCTCCTTCTGCCTGTTCTGCTCCCCGCTCTGCCTCTGGTGAATCTTCTCACCTCCCTCCCACCCCTGTACCTCTGGCCTATGCCCCAGTAAATAAATCTTTTAAAAATAAAGGGCAGCTCTAAGTTCTGTGACTTCACTCCCCTCAGTTTCACCACAGTGGAGACCGCCTATGGCTCCTATGTCAACTCTGTGCAGGGCATAAGCGCCAACAATAATGACAGAACCTACTGGGAGCTTCTGAGTGGAGATAAACCACTGAGCCAAGGTAAGGGGAGGGGAGGGGTGCCCAGCGCATGGGGAGGGCTTTGGCAGGCGCATGCCAAAGGGTGGCAATCGCTCGCCATGACCTGGTCATCTGACCCAGTTCTCTGTCGTCTTTCTTTTCAGGGGCTGGCAGCTATGTTGTCCACGATGGGGAAAATCTGAAGGTTCGCTGGAGCAAATACTAATAAACCCCAACCTTCCTCAGCTGGGCCTGCCCTGCTCACGATGGAAGGTCATAGTGGCCTCGTACCTGTCTCTGTCTCAATAGGAGAGTCGCTACCTTCCCCTTCTCTCTTTGCACATTCAATAAAAAATCAACAACTATGTTCTGCTCCCCACTCTGTTTCTGGTGAATTCTTTCACACACACACACACACACTTCTCGCCTATACCCCAGTTCTTGTATACATAAACAAGTAAAGCTAAAAATATATAAAAATAAAAAGTTTAAACAACAACAGCAAAAAAATTCAACAACTATACAAAACTAGCGTGTTCTACCCGTTCATTCCAGATGGAGATTAGTGTTAGAGAGAAGACAGAGAGAAGAGAAGAAGCCCAGGAAGAAGAGACAGAACCACGCATCTAAGAAACTGAGTTCAAGTTTCGCCCAGGAACTGCCTGGCCACCTAAGGTTCTAGGGCAAAGGTTGCAGCCACATAACTAGATCAAGCAGAAAGTCTGCCGGGCTGCTGAGTTTCCTGAAGCCAGGTGCAAGGGAGGGGTCCGGTGGGCATAAAGGCAGCGAGTGGAAAGAAAATCAGTGTCTGGAGAAACCAGGAAAGTGAGGCTTATACAGAAACCAGCTCACGAAGGAAAAACATCGCCCCCACCTCCAGCTGTGTCTTCGTCCCCATGTATTTTCCTCCCACCTCCCCATAAAGATCACCTGGCTGATTCATGCCATCGCCAAAGGAAGGGCAAGAAAAGAGAAAGGGGACAAAATGAGGGAGGGAAGGCCCCAGGGGCTGTGGGGGTGGTTACAGGGGCCACACCCGGGAGAAGCCAACACCATCCTAAAAGGAACAAAGAGGTAAGAAAATCAATCAGCCATAGATTAACAGAGACAGAGTTTGGCCTGGGTGGTTCCGGTTCCAGAAGAGATTTGCTAACTAAGCCAATATGTCAAAATCGGTGTCACAACAGCGATGGCTGTGAGTGGCCTCGCACGAGGAAGCTTGTGTGTAAGGTGCAGCACACCGAAGGCGCGTGATCAGCGTGGGGTGGCCCTGCATGGACCCTGGGCCCCAGGCCAGCTCCCTGCCACGATGGTACTGTCAGAGGCTTATTGCTGCTGAGACAGATCACAGGTTCTCTGGCCCCGACGGGACGTAGGCTTGACTGGGCAGATCTGGAGGATGGCAGGGCCCGGGCAAGTCTCCTTCCTGCCCCCGGTCAGCCAGGCCTCCCAGGGTCTTGCTAACCGGCACGGAGCCGCCTCCCCACGTTTCTCAAATGACCGCGCTGTCTGTAAGTCACCTTCAGACAGCGCTGAGTCTGTAGCAGGCAAACTGAGATAAGCGAGGGGACATTAGTTCCGTCGGGGACAGAGAGGTCAGCAGGGCTGGCCAGGAGTGGCTGGCGGGGAGGAGGGCAAGCGGAGTGTCCACCAAGGGGAGCAGATATAAGACCGGGAGCGGAGTCACCAGCCACACTGGGACTCGCGGCCGGCGCAGGAGGGCGGCGGGATGGCCTGCTCCGCCCTCTGCCTTCTGAGCCTGCTATGGGCTGCGGCGGGGACGGGAGCTCAGACCCAACGCTCATGCTGTGAGTAGGGCCCAGACCTACCGCTCATGCTGTGGGGAGGGTCTGCCCCACCGAGCCCAGGCCTGGAAGCCTTCACCTGGGGCTGGGTGGGAGCTATGGCCAGGAGCCCGCTGAGGAGAAAGGGGTGCAAACAGGCCAGTCAGGCTGTGAGCGCCTCATCTGTCCTGACTTCACAGCAGACTTCTTTCAGAGGCAGAATCTGCAGGTTATAATTCACTCAGCGACCTTGAGGTGGGAAGGGGGATTGGTGGCAGAGGGAGGCTGTTTGGCCTGCACCAGGCTAGTCAAGGGAGTCACTGGTCCCCATGGAGAACAGGTCATTTCCCTAATAGTGCTCATGCAAGGATGAGGGAGAAAAAGGACCCGAGGGGGCTGGCGACTTCCAGGAGGGGCTGAGTTAGTCTGAAGGGCCTGTGAACCGCGGGGCTTACAGCTGCTAGGGGAGAAGCCACTGTGAAGGCAGAACCCCAACCCTGCCTTCCCCACAAAGGCATAAAAGACATGGGGCGGGGCGGGGGGGGGGGAGGCTGATGGCGCAGCGGGTTAAAGCACAGCACCAAGAAGCTAAAGCCACTTCCGCATGAGTTCCATCCCCGCCTGCCCTGGAGGTGACCACATAGCGCAGCAGACCTCTCCTGACCCGCCCACTGCTCCCCTCAGCAGTGTACTTCGTCAGTCGGCCTGTTCTGCTCCCCACTTTGCTGTCTCTGGTGAATCCTCTCACCGCCCCTGCACCTCTGGCCTGCACCCAGCTCTGTAGGCAGAAATAAATACATCTTTAAAGAGAGACACGGGGACACGCTTCTGGGAAGAGGGAACTCGGGGCTCAGCCTGACTCCTTTCTTCCCAGCGGTCCCCCCGGCACAGCAGCCCCTGGTCCACGGCATCCAGGTGCTCATGGAGCGTGCCGCGGCCAGCGCAGCCGTCCCAAACCCCAGCGTCCTCATCGCCATGAACCTGGCCGGAGCCCACGACCTGGACGTCCAGAAGCTCCTGACGCTCAAGCTCATGGCCAGTGACACAGCCGGTGAGGGTCAGAGCCCCGCAGCCCCCGCCCCTCACCCCAGTGCCGCCTCTGCGGCACCTGGGTCCCCCACACCCCTTTCCTGACATGTCTGGAGCATCCCTGGGAAGGAAAACTGTTTGGAAAAGCGTACCCACAGAGGCGGGCACTGGGCCAACTTCCAGCTCTGCTCCGCCCTGTGAGCTCCGAGCCCTTGAGCAGGTCCCGGGGGCCTCAGCCTCACTTTCCTCCTTTGCAAAATGCAGATGACCCTGATAACAGCGACACTAGTAGCAGGAACAGCCCTGGCACAGCTCCTGCCCACCTCCCAGGACTTGCCCAAGGCTCCAGGTGCAGGACAGACACCGGCTGTCACAGCTGTCGGTTGCCGATGTGCACGTGTCTGGACAGAGCAGGGCTTCTGCATCAGGCTATCAAGTCACCCCGAGGCCACCACATGCAACTCCCTTGAGTATTTCTCCACACTTCTTTCCTTAAAAAAGATCGAAACGCAGTCTAGTCTCGTTCTTTAATGAAAACCAAGCTGAGCTGGGTAAGGAGCAGTCACTGGGTGCCGGAGTGCGCTCCCGGAACACATCTGTGTTACCTGTTCTGTCCTGTCCCCTGCAGACCTGACCATCGGTCAACTTGCACTCACCATTATGGCCCTCACCTCCTCTTGCCAAGACACTGGGACGCAAGTTTCGAGTCTACGGAGACACATGGAGACCTGGGCGCCTTCAAGTATGACCTCATCAGGAGGGGAGGAAGGAGGCCAGTGTCCCTCCTGGAGATTTTTTAACAAAGATTCATGCATTTATACATACAAGAACTGGGGCACAGGCCCCAGTGGGGTGGGGTGGGAGCTGTGAGAGACTTTACCAGAGACAGAGGGGAAGCAGAACAGGAGGATCTATTGAAAGACACTGCTGAGGAGAGCAGCGGGTGGGACAGAGGAGGTCTGCTGCACCCTGGGGCCAGCTCCCTGGCTGCAGATCGAACTCAGGCCGTAGTGGCCCTGGAGAGCCCCACAGTGCTGCACTTCAACCTGTTGTGCCACCAAGGAGGGCCCCCTTTCCTGGAGATTTTAAACCCAGAAAGGAAGGGACTCGAGACAGGAAGCTTAGGGAAGAGACCCAAAGCCCCTCCCCCCCACCCCACTCAGGCGCCCTCTGACAATCCCAGGTGAGTTATTCACCTGTAACCCCACTGAACTGGGAAGGACACCCCCAGGCATGGCCAGGACTCACCAGCCTGCCCAGGGCATCTCATGCCACCCTGGTGCCAGGTGATGTTCTTGTTCTGACATTACTGTTTTCTTTTCCAACAAGGTGCTTTCTTTTTAGACAGGTTTTCTAGCACTTTCTATTGAAAAGGCTTTTCCTCACAAGTGTCCTCATAACGTCTTATAAAAAAAAACCTCCACTCCCTTCCAGGCCTCAGCGCCCCGGCTTCATCCTTCTATGGGCCCAGCCTGGCCATCTTGGCTCTGTGCCAGCAGAACCCTGCGCTAACCTTGCCCATAGCAGCCCGCTTAGCCAAGGCCCTCCTGGCCAACACCTCTCCCTTCAATGTGGGTAAGTAAGTAGGTGGCCACTCTCCAACACCCTCCTGAGCTGGGAACATCGGGGTGGGGAGGGCTGGCGGGGGACACCGAGTGGTGGCGCAGAGGAGCGGAGGGCCGGGAAAGGGACTGCAGGCCAGAATGTGATGACTGTGGGCGTGGGCGTTTGGGAATAAGTGAAAAAGAGTGAATAAAATATGGCCAATGCACTAAAGAGATAATAATAATAGAATAAAATTCTCCTTGAACTACAGCCATCTTATAAGGCTGCCTCCTGTTCGGGAAGTGGGTGGGAAAGGTAGAGACAGGTATCTGTGAAAGCCTTGTAGAAATTAAGGACATTGATGTTAATTTTTTCACAGAGAAGCAATATAATGTAGTTGGGGTTCATTTGGTTTGCAAAAAAAAAAAATATATATATATATGGCCAACGCTTGAATTTCTGGCATTTACAGACTCTCAGGGGGGAAGAATAAATAGAGTGTCCCCAGGGACTGTTAAATTATTAAATCAACGTCTAGACACTGGCCCTGCCCACTCTTTATCACCACCGATGCTTCTCTCTGCTCCTCCCAGTGCTTCTCTCTCCTTACAACATCCAACTCGTCTGCCTCTGCCTCAGCGCTCCTCCCTGAGCCTGCACTCATGATTTCCCCCTCCGCGGGCACCCCAGAACTTCCTATTCCTTCACTCTGCAAGGAATGAGGGCTCTTCCCGCCACACCTTCCTCCTCTCCACGCTCTGCACAGAACAACCTTCTCTGCACAGAAGAGCACCCCCAGGGAAGATCACTACCACATCCCTGTATCACAGTCAAATTCCTCATGTACCAGTCTCTAAGCCACAGCATATCTGCCTAGCACCCCCTTGTCCACGCTTCATCCACAACCCATAGCCCCTCTGGTTTCAGGATCTCTCAGACAAGCAAGTAGTCACTCTTGTATCCTCCCTGTGGGTCAACAAAGATGACCATTTCCCATGTGACCTTCCACATGACAGGGGCATCTGTGCCAATTCAGGAAATGTGGGCAACTCTGATTTCAAAAACATGGTCAGCTTTATAAGGTTGGGCAACTTCAGGGAAGGGGGGCTGTAGGGTGGGGATGCCGATGAAAGAAGAGGCCCCCTGAGGCCTGAGGCTGTGGCCTAGTCATACCAGAACTTGCTCTCAGACCACGTTGTTTTACTGAGCGCAGACAGTGGGAAAGCCCATGCTGGGCACCCAGGGGTGCTTAGGTGCCACCACCTGAGAGCTCACAGGGCACATCACAACCAACCACAGCAGACAGAACTGGCAGATTGGGGACACACAAACCCACTGAAGGAATTCAGGAGAGCCATCGCCCAGGCCAAGAGAGAGGTGGTGACGGCGGGGCCTTCACGCTCTGGCGACCTTCAGAAAGATGACCAGTGAGATGAGAGAGGTGGGGCTGGAGACAGTGGCAGGCCCCATTCATTACCAGCCTGCACTAGGGGGGGGTCATCCATATTGAGCCTGGGGCCCGGCGCTGCTCCCTGCTTACTAGCAGTGTGGTCTGGGTCATTACTAGATCCCTCTGGGCCTCCAGGCCTCGCCCTCGAATGGAGACGGTGTAAGGCCTATTCCACACGCTGCCCTGCAGAGGAGGAGCAAGGGACCCGGGGCACGAGGGAGGCCACTCGTGTGGGCTGGCTGTCTGACCACCCCTTGTGTCACAGACACCGGAGCAGTGGCGACCTTGGCTCTGACCTGCATGTACAACAAGATCCCTGTCGGGTCGGAGGAAGGTTACCGAGTCCTGTTTCGTCAGGCGTTAAAGGATGTTGTAGAGAGCATCAGCGTGAGGATCCTAGACAATGGCATCATTGGGGACATGTACAGCACCGGCCTCGCCATGCAGGTAGGGGCCGCTGCCCTCGGCCGGTCCTGCCCACAGCCGGGATTGTGGTCAGTTGTAGGTCAAGAATCCAGGCTTCCCTCAGCCCCGGGCAAGACCAGCTAGTGTGCTGAAGGCGCATGCCCCGTGGTGCCTGCTTCCCTACTGATAAAGTGCTAGCTCCTCTCTGGCTCGTAGGTGAGGCAGAGAGCCTGGTGCTTTCCCTTCCTAGGGGACAGAAAACCAAGATCAAGAAATTAAGAGCATCCCCAAGACTCAGGTCTCGAGGTGTGTAGAGAAATGAAGACACTTTGGAAGAGATCTAAGACAGGTTTTATTTATGACTCACGTAGAATAACCTTGTTTCACCTTAGTGCCAGAGAAGTGTTTGCTTCTGTTAGTTCAGTTTGTGAATTAGGATTTTATCACCGGTGAGGTACACGCTGACCAGTCATATCTGGGAATTAAAGTTTTTCTGTGAAAAGGCAGGAACTCACCCAACCTAGATAGAGCCTGGTGGGTTTCTGTCAGTTAGGACACATAACCTCTGTCAGTTTCTGTCAGTTAGGATGCATAAGCTCTCTATGGCCTACATCCAAGGTTTAAGCCCGCTGTAGGAGTCCAGCCACCCTAAAGGGAGGGAGGGGTGGTCTCAGCTCACAGGTCACACTTGACAAGAGGCTGCAAACCTCCCATCTGAAGCTCCTGTGACCCCTCTACAGGTAGGCAGGAGCGACTTCTGTCTTACACAGGAGATAAAACTTAGCAAAGTAGAGCAAGTTGCTTGGTACATGAAGCAAGAATCATTTTTGCAAATAAAAACCCAAATAATTTTTGCTTGGGAAAAAAAAAACGTGCATTTGTTCTTTCACATCAGCCAGAGGGCCCAGGGTTAGATTAGGTGGCTTAGAACTACTCAGAACAAAGGGCTCATAGCATGACAAGAGAAACTACTTTCTTCCTCTCTCAGTGCTAGGGGTTTTTTTTTTTTTCCCATTTGCTCCTGCTGCGTGGCTTCTTCAAGCGGCTGACTGGAGATTCTCAGCACTTACAGGGTCCCCAGATCACCAGCAAGGGCAAAGTGCCCCTCTCCCCCAATGCTAGTGTATCAGGGAAAGACCCTGATTGGTGCAAGTGCCCACCAATCACTGTAGCCAGAGGACAGCCCTCTGTGGTTGACCTCTGATTAGCAGCCCAGTGTGGAGACTCAGGCTGATGGTCCAGACACTGCCGAAATCATGGAAGGTTTGTGGATGTCCTGAAGGTTGTGCAGGACATCATAAAACAAGAGGTCTGCTGCCTTTACATGGCCAGGCTGACTTCGGCGAGAGCTCCCAGAGCTTGCTTTGGCCACATCTCAGTCTACATTCAAGAAATGTTAGTCAGTACAGCAGCGCTAAGAATGAGTTGCACAGAGACTTGTGAGGCCATCACTGTGTGAAGGGTGTGGCTCCAGTGGTGGGATGCAGAAGTGGCTAAGACACTCATCGTCTCCAACCCTGAGCAGTGGCAGCTTTGGGCTGTGGGTGGCCAGCGAGGTCGGCAACCCAGTTTACCCTTCGGTAAGGTTAATAAAGATGAACTCCCAGCTGTGCCTAATCTCTGCTGTTCTCTCCCTCGCTCCTGGTTCCTGCTCCCCTCCCCTCTTCTTGTCCCAGGCTCTCTCTGTGACCCCTGAGAAACCTAACAAGGAGTGGAACTGCGAGAAGACCGTGGAGACAATACTTACCAAGATTCAGCAGGGGGACTTCCACAATCCCATGTCCATTGCCCAAGTTCTCCCTTCCCTGGAAAGCAAGACATACCTAGATGTGCCCCGCGTGTCTTGCAGGCCTGGTAAGAGCCCTTAACATCGGCTTCTCCTTATTTCATTAAGTAGCACTTAGCCCAAATGGTATGTATCGACAGATGGATTCTAAGTAGGATGTAGCCCTGTTTGGGCCATTACTACCACTTAGATAAAGGCACAGCAGGCTTCCAACCGGAGTTGTTTACTACCACAGAGCCATATCATCCTGCCCTCAGAATCCAGCCCTCTTGCCTAATTCATTCAGCACACACTTACTGGCGCCTACTGCGGGCAAAGCATTTGATGGGTTGGTGATGGAGAGGGAAGGTCCATGGCCCCAACCATCAAGTAACATGTATATATTTGCTAATGTCATGTATTTGCTTGACCTGTGTACTGAACGTGATGTAAAGCTGCTCTTTACAATGTCAGGAGATAGATATGTAGAAGCTACATTTAAGGACTTCAATATTTGGCATAATAGAGTAAAACTGAAATAGAAATGGAAGCCACAGTAGTACAAAAGCAAAGTGTAGGCAATCCTTGATTTTGTTTTTTCTGGGAGACTTAAGGGAACAGATATTTGAGCCACGCCTCAAAAATCTAAATGTGCTCCCAGTGCCCCAAAGGGCTGGGATGGCATCCTGGCATGTCCCCTTTTTATTTGAAATACCTTTATTTTATCCAAGGAAGTACTTGAAATTCAAATAATGCAGAAATATGAATTGAGAAAGTGAGGGTTCTACATAAAAATGTCGCTGGAGAGGTTTAGTGTAGATTCCTCTTCTTTCTAATTAAATACTAATATAAGGTATAAACATCTTCCATTGTATGGAAGACAAATATTCTGAAAATAAGCAGAGATGAATAAGCTCTCTGTCTATGTTAGTGCAGAAGCACAAAACCGACAATCAAGCAACTTGCTTGGACTCATTCCAAACCCAGTCACATCCACCAGATCCCACCTGCTTCCCAGGTCTCCCAACCTTAGCAAAGACCCACGGAGTCCTTCCTAGACTCTACACGAGTGAGTATCAAAGGGCCAATGGGCCTGAAAAGCACTACCTTTTGTTCCAGAGGCTTAGGATGAACAAAAATCCATAACAACTGAGAAGCGTATCACATAAATGCATGGCTTGGATTCTCAAGCTTCCTTCAGGTTAAAAATTCTTTCAGCGGCCCTCCCTGGTGGCGCAGCGGGTTAAAGCACTGCACAAAGAAGCTTAAGCCACTTCCGCATGAGTTCGATTCCCGCCTGCCCCCCGGAGGAGACCACATGGCGTGGCAGACCTCTCCTGACCCGCCCGCTGCTCCCCTCAGCAGTGTACTTCGTCGATCTACCTGTTCTGCACCCCACTCTGTCTCTGGTGAATCCTCTCACCCTCCGCATCTCTGGCCTGTACCCCAGTTCTGTATGAATAAATAAATAAATCTTTAAAAAAATAAAAATAAAAAAATAAAATAAATAAATTCTTTCAGCAAAATCAATGTTCATTGTAAAGCCATCTGTCCATCCGCTGTCACCCACTCTCTAGATGAAAGTGAATGCTCCATAGCTCACAGTGGTTCTTCAGAACAATCTGCAGAGCTACAAACTGACTGCCACTTCTGGACATGTTTTCTGGGATGAGTTGCCAACAAATGAAGTTTGCTCCTGGAATCCAAACCTCATAATCCTGAGCAAATATGGCTTCTTGGCTCTTTACAGATCATGAGGTACACCCAACGCAACCCAGCCACCCAAGCCCTGTCCCCACCTCAGCATCCAACATCACTGTCACATATACCATAACCAACCAGCTGAGGGGTGTAGACCTGCTCTTCAATGTGACCGTGGACATTAGCGTGAGAAACGGCTCGGTGCTGCTTGTTGTTCTGCAGGAAGCACAGCGCAGAAACCCCGTCTTCAGGTGAGCACACCACGCCCCAAGCCGAAGCCTCAATTCCTGTTGTTTCACTTGCCTTTATTTTTTTGTACTATTTTTCCTTTTTTAAAAAAAGATTTTATTTATTTGTGCATACAGAACTGGGGTACAAGCCAGAGGTACAGGGGCAGTGAGAGGATTCACCAGAGACAGAGTGGGGAGCAGAACAGGCTGACTGACGAAGTACACTGCTGAGGGGAGCAGCGGGCGGG